TGATCAAAAGCAAGGATGTCCTCAACTTCCTGAAGCGGTTGTTGGATGGAGCAGCTCCTTAGCATTTTAGGGTTTAGAGTTGCTGTAACCCAAGTACCTATAGTTTTATGGGCTGCACCTATAAATTCGGAGGTAAATACAACTAAACTGTAGAAAATTTGGGTTACAGGTCGGCGCCTGAGGAATGTTGCATTACTGTCTTCCGTCCGTTCGACCAGAATATAGGGGGGCTGTCGGGAAACTGCAGGGAGACCATGGGCTCTGTTGCAGTCTTAGAAGGCCACTGGCTGGGCTACCCCTTCCACCCGACCTAAACAAACCTACCAGAGCGCGAGCTGACTAGGCTCCTGATCGTGCCTGACAAGCGAGTTTGTCACAAACAGTGTACCCTCTGTGACCCTAGGGATATATGGAAAGTATAAGTAGATCATCAGGGTTCCCCTGCAGGATCAGATGCGATGTTTTTGAAAACTCCCACCAGTCTTTGTTTGCGGCTTGTCTGTTGAAGTAGACACGTGAGCTTCTCCCTCCAACCCCTTTTAGCTTTTCAGCTTCTTTTTACACCTTGCTACACAAAAACCCCCTTCGTTTGCATTCGTTCTACAGCCTCAAAGGAGTGTGTGGGATCCTTGGGTACAGGCATCCCGGAGGAGTTGGCTTGCCAGTTGGCGACATATGTGCGGATATCTGTGTAGCAAAGGCTCCCTTTCCAAAGGTTTTGTGTTCAAATGCAGGACCAAAGAAGACCCGTTGTATTCTGAGAAGGACACTACGACAAAACATGGCACTGGTGGGTGCGCAATTTTTCCCTGAAAGGACCTCATCTGGGCGCGCACCCCAACTGCTTCCACGAAGTCTATCAACCTTACACCTTCAGGCCTCGAGTCTACATCCTCGTCTCGAGTATCCCCGAAGCCCCGGCAGTCCAGGTTCCCAGAGAGAAGGCTGCTGCAAAGGATGTCTAACTCGGCCAGCTGCTGCTGTAGCGCCTTGCTAAAGCAAAAAAAACATGCAGCGTCATAAGCAGACACACTTCTACTTCCTACCATTGCCATCACTGATTATCGAAATGCTGAGTTCATGACTTCAGGGTAACATAGGTTACATAGGGAAATATAGGGTAATGTAGGACAATATAAGCTAATATAGGTTGTATAGGGAAAATGGAAAGGAAACTGGAAACTCCTATATTAGAGTAGGGCATTTATGTCCTCCAGCTTCAGTGCGCTGCTTCTTGACCTGCTTGAACATCGTCATCGGTGTCCCCATCTAGGCGCCAACACCCCACAAGGACTCATCAATACAAGAAGGTCTATGAAGCAGCAATCAATCTCCCATGAGGGCGATTCCAACAGTTGAGTTCATTTTTTTTTTGGGAGGGGGGGGAGTGGTGCTCATTTAACTCATACTAGCATTTCGGGGGCAAATGAGGTGCCATACGGGCAGGCAGGACTTTATTGAGAAGGTTAGGCCTGTCTATTACAATGTTTGGCCTGAGAACCGGCTATGATGCACTGCAACCAGACTAATGCAAGCTTTTACAAGCAAATTGCTTTAGGGCATATAGGGCTTATATACGGGATATATTTGGGAGAATGGAAAGGAACATGGAAACTATAGGGATCATAGGGATTATGTTATATACTTCCCAGGACTCCAAGTCAACCTCTAGGCGATGCTCCGAGCTTATTAAGTAGCCTATGTCGCCAGGGATCAGCTCTTCTAGCCAATATCTTCCAACACGAAGAAGGAAGCACCGACTGCAAGCATGTTCCAGCATGTAAGCCCAATCAAGTTGAGGTAAGGATCCTATGATCCAGTCGAGTGCAAGCTTACCAGAAGCAGACCCCGACTCTCGAAACAGTCAACCTTGACACGCAAACGCTGACGTCCTGCACTAAGCATCCGCGGTTTCCAACCCAGATTTACAATCTGAGATCCAGAAGTTTCCACTTGTGTTGCCTCCAGCTGCTTTTGAGCGAGGGCGAAGACCGTTCCGGCTTGCTGCAATTGATGGCCCAACTCATCCTGCAAAACGTGCATTTTCGTGGGCGTGGGGACAGTTTGCAAAGTTTTGCTCCTGTTTGAAGCCATTGTCCCCTTTAAGGATCCTAGGCTTGGGCATCGAGCACGGGGGAACTAGCGAAGCGCTGCAGACCCGCTTCTTGTGCGGTCACTCGCAGCTGACTGCAATATCGGTCAACCGACCCTACCTCTCATTTTATTGCAACTCTGAAGTATCACCTGCTCCTGACTACGGCCACCACTATCACTTACATCTGCATTACGTCTTCCATCTACTTCTTACTATTACGTCGCTATCTACTTGACCCCCTGAAGGCCTTGAACGACTTGAGCCTAGGGTGAACGACCCCGGCCTTTGCTGCAAGGCCAGTAAAGTCCTGGAGCTTCCACGCTCCATTGCCTGGCATCGGGTGTCTGCCAGGATCACTTTCTTTCTAGCTTAAAGGATTTTGTTGCAGCCAGTCTGGGTTGGGGAGTCTTGGGACTTAGGGTATCGTGATGCTTATTACTATGTTATGGCGTTCACGGGATTCTGAGAACAAATCCTAAAACTGAACGCCCTAAACTCTTAAGCGCGTTACCGTTACCTAGAAGAGGTGCTTTCCGTTGGGCAGCATTGCTACAGGAAATGGAAACAGTACCGACTGCTCTTGGCTTGGCGACCTTACAATACATTTCAAGCTTTTGTCGGGATGCCTACTGCCGGGCTGAGGGCTGTGGTTTTTTTATACGCGAGTCCTGCATGGAACTCAAGATGGCTTCCTACACCTGCCTGAAGCCGTCCACAAGGAATGAAGGAATGAACAAGAAACTGAAAAAGAATATATCCTTGGCCTTTCTCCATCTTATCTAGGAGCTACTATATGTAGGGATCCATTTCCTTATTCCCCCGGTAGCCATTAGTAAGCCTCAGGCCTATGGCAAGGAGGGGGCCCCCTGGAGGCGTCATCGGTTGAAGGCCGAAGGGCTCCGAGAAGCCTAGGTCTTTGGGCTTCAGAGCCCCTACGATTAAGAGAGAAAACAGATGGAGAAAATGGAGAAGGAAAGGGATACTCCCAATCTCTTCAGGATTTGGGGGTTTGGAGCATGCAGAGCTTACTTGGTCAGAAAAGCGGAGAATCAAATGGAAGATGAAATCGAAGCTGGGATTCTATAAAGGATCATGAGTCATATTGGGCTTTGTTGCTGCAACTCGCAATGGCACGTGATCGTTGTCATCAAATCTTCCGGTGAACAGTTTCGGGTAATACTGTACAAGTGCACAACCTTTCTCTTGAGTTTGGATGAGGTGCCTTGGGCCTCTCCACCTTGTCTTATTTGGGCCTCCTCCCTCCTCATCACAAATCGACAAGCATGGCCTTCCTGTCAAAGTACTACAGGGGCCTAAATAATTACCAATATCATTTTGAGGTCCATTTGAGGTACCATATACTATAATTACACAAAGAATATGGAACCATACTGTAATGTTGGTAATGGCCCCACAATTACAATAAATTGCCACAAGGATCGTACTCTTCCGCGAAAAGATAACCCTCTCTTGAGAACTATGCATGAAGGGGCGGAGAAATGTCGGAATAACCCTGAAGTGCATCTGTGACTTGAGGAATGTGGCTGCATGGGGACTGTCTTGTACAGGATTGCTGCACCTGGAGCCCTCCACGTCCCTGCCAGTGCTCTGTAGCAGGCCGGAACAGAATGCTAAAACGTTGAAGGCTTGGGGTTTGGGGTCTCGTCTGCCAGCATCCGGCAGAAATTCAATCACAAAGTCCGGTCTCCTGATTCAAGGGGGTATATGAGCTATAGTCTAAACTCTAAACTTCTAGCATCCCCCTCAATAAGCCATAGAGTCCCCTCTATAATCCTCTATAAAAGATTCTGGCTCATACGAACTGGGAGATTCTCATTCAGACTGGGGCTACCCCGATCAGAAATCTGCAGGGCAACTGCTGAAACATCATGTTACTGTAATGGGTGACTTTGAGAAGCTCCCATCTAATGTAATTAGGGGTTGAATGATAACCCCAAAATCATATTAAGGTCTCTTTGAGATGCCCTGCGCCATAAGCATGCCGGGAACATTAGGACCAGAATATCCGTAACAAGTTCAGGCCCCTACATCACTTGCGGCCAGCAGCTCTTGAGGCAGGGTGGCATTTGAGCTGACTTATGCTAATGCTGTACAAGCCAGGCATCAGGAATTTTACTCCCCAACACCCGTCCAGCATCTGTTCATTCAGCATGGGGCATTTTGATGCGCTCAGCTTAAGAATCCCTGGCGTCCATCTCTTGTGCAGCTGAAAGGCGGAATCACATCGCTGCCAGAGCATTGCTAGTATTGACAGCTGGTAAGCTCGAACCCAGAGCTGCGCAGGCAAAACTCAGTTGCAGTGGCGGCGCTCAATATGGGAGCTTTTGCCATCATGGGCACTTCTTTGGAAGTCGCGGTTGAGCAGTTGAGCGGGAGTATGAAAAGGGCTAAAACCCAGCAATAGTATCTGCCATCTAGACAGGTCCATCAAAACTTTCTACCGAGAGGGCCCAAGTCACGCCAAGAAGAAAAGACACCACACGATTACGATTGTCAACTAATTACATGGTGGGGGATCCAGGCCTGGTAGGGGCAAAGCTTCCAATAGGATCTGCAGCGAAACTGGCTTCAAAGGTCCCCTTGCAGCTCCACTGTGGGCTTTTCTTGAGAGCACACCTGGGGCTTTCCAGAAATTGTATGGAATTATGGAGATCTCCGAGGATGTTCTCCGCATGCACGCACCCAGAATGACCATGGTTCATAACTCCCGGTGGGCGTAGAATCCACGAGCGCAGCTTCACTACAACCCAGTCGAAATGGCAGTGGTGGCATTGCGGTTGGCACCCCAACTAATAACGTAGGATCCTGAACAAAACTTGCTTTCTGAAGAGCCGAATCAACGAATCAAGCATGAGTTCCCTTTGCCCAGTTATGATGCAGGGTCCTTTCGCACGCTCCTCGATGGGCTCTGGCACAGACGCACTCAACTCCTTGCCAGGAAACTTGGACAGGTCTAACATGACTCACAAATGAACTGTAAGGCTCTTTGGCCTAGTGGTTTGCAGCAAAACTCTTTCAAAACAAACGGAGGATGCTTGGCATTTTCTGAATCTTCATTACTCAGCTCTCCTGTCGTCTCAAAGCCACATGTACTGGCTAACTATCTCCACATGCTCCACTGCCATTTTCTAGGGTTCGCAGCAACTATCTATTGGGCATCTCCACGATATCTCACGAAGTGAGGTGCTACCCACTCACAAATTGATGCTCAAGATGCGGGCTAATGTCGTCATCAGTACAAGCCCCTGCCTGACGCCATTTCTCTTCGGTCATGTTTTGAAACGGAATTCCTCTGTCCAAGCATGGAACTACTTCAACTCTTCTGATGCGTGGGAACTTAGGGCCCCTAGTCTTGGCAACAGAACCCAGTTGTTACCTGGTTAAAACGCCCAGTAACTCTTCGTAACGACTCTACTTGGAGCCTCTAATTGGGATAACCTAAATAGGTCCAGTTAGGGGGATTATAAACAGGGTTATAAGCTCAGTTCTAAGTAGTTTAAGTAGTTCCTAAGTCCTAAGTCCCATGAACCTCCAAGTACTCCCGGCTATCTGCCGAGCCCGGAAGATCCCCTACTCTGAATGCCTGGCCTCCAGCTGGCCCAACCTAACAGCTGTTGCTTTAGGCTTTGGTACATGGTAGTTGCATGTGGGTATACAGAAGTTCTATGAGCTATAGTCTAAACTCCTAGTATTCCCCTTAATAACCCTTTTACTACTCCCCTATACAATCCCATATCTAACGCCCCTTTAAGGAGTTTTTACTGTAGCTCATATAGACTCTTGGGATATGGGGCCCAATACCGGACGATCAAGTGGAAAAGAAGATGAAATTGAATCTACTCTTTAGGCCTTAACTTTGGTATCACCCCAACAATGAAAAATCACATGGAAAAAAACGGAAAAATAAACATGGAATCTGGGCTCTATATAGGGGTTATAGTTGCTCTCGTGCGGGCTTCGTGCTTGAAGGCATTCAGTGTAGGAGTGAAGGCTTGATGTGCAGTAGGGGGGCTCGCTATTGGTCTTCGAGGCAATGTGTGTTGGCGCACTAGTCTGGGTTATAACTTTAAAACGGAATTTATGGGTATAGGTTTCGGCCGTAGGCTACACGGGGTTGTATCACGGGATGTTGTGGGGGCTAAAGTTTGCTGAGTGCGGCCTGAAGCCACAAAGGGCTGCCCATACATTTAAGAGTAGGCCAGGTGTGGGGGCACGCAGTCCTCGGCAATGCTTCTGCTCAGGATGGCTTTAACCCTTACCCCGAAACCCATGTGGTGGCCATGATCCATGCCTGCTTTTCTTGCCATCTGCCCTTCTACTGTCCCATGCAACCCTTGACGTGGGAGTCTCTCACAACCCCTCCGCCGCGAATCCTGCACCAAAAAAACATCTCACAGAAGGGCACCCGCCATACCTTTCAACCACTCTGGGAGCGCAATACAACTTAATGAAGGAATATTTCTTAAACCATATTAGAGATCCTCATACGATCTAAAGTATATTCTTTATCAAAGGGTATTCGGCCCTAAACCCTGAAAGCCTTAAACTATGTAATCCCCATATAACCCCCTTAGAACTTATAACCCCATATAACCCCAGTATAGTAGTTTCCCTTTATCCCTAGTATATAACCCATTTAAGCCCTAAACAGCTCTTCTGCCGACTTGACAGGTCGATTTCTCTGGGCCCAGGGCTGGCCCAAGGTTGTCATGACCTGGCTTTAGGGCTTTGGGTTAAGGGTCAGAGTTCAGGGTTTAGGGTGTTTAGGTTTTTTGGGGTTTAGGGCTTTGGGGTTTCGGGCTTAGGGGATTGGACAAATTCGGAACATGGAACCGACTAGGATTATCGAAGGGCAAAAGTTGTATAGGGGTTATGTAGGGAAATTGTCTTAATAGTGGCGAATCTTATGCAACACTAATAATGGAGAATCTCATTCAAAAGACAACGAAAAAATCGAACAACATCAAATGGTGTTATATCATGCTTCGTGGGAATTTGGGTGCCCAGAACAAGGGTTACAGTGTTTGGAGGATATCCAAAAGAATCTCTTTGTGGGAGACCCCACGTGTAGAACGGGATCTTTAGGGACTTTGGCCCTGCAGATTCTATGCTGCGACGGCTCGACCTGTGCAGTTCTGATTACAATCTTTTGCGCTAAGCATTTCCTTGGCATGTGAGAGAACACTGACCTTTGAAGCACGCGGCTATGCCCCAAAGAGCAGCTGCTACTGCGACATTCCTTCGAAGATTAAAGCTAACATAGCAGCGCTAAGCATATCAGACCACTGCTAAGTCCGCTACCCTCTCACCGTTAACCCTTCACCTTGCTCACACCCTCAAACTAAGCTGCATCTGCGACTTGATCATGCTGAACAAAAGCAAGCATAGATTGCGGCGGGGGCACACAGGCTGCTAGTCAGAAGAGTTGCCAGGCAAATTTTCAACTGGCCCTTCCATGGGCCTTTCGAACTGACTGTGCTTCACAAGCAAGTTATCCATGTTTCTAAACGGCGCGCGTATCTTCACTATCGACAGATCTGTGCATACATTGTGGACTTGACATGGCCTCATGGCATGGGATACTTGTTCGAGCATCTGAAGCAGCAAGCCAAACTGGAAACCATCCTACGCTGGCCCGCATAAACTTTCCACAGTTGCATGTATAAACATGTGCACCATTTGGCCTACCACCATAGATTCTTCAGAAGGCTGTCACCGCAAAGGAAATGTCTCATGTGTACTACGCCCCAGGATATATCTTACGCACCCGTCCACGACAGCCACGCAGCCTCATGAAAGCTGAAGAGAAAGTCCTCGCACCGTACAATCACCGCCTGGGCAAAAGTTCAGCGCAATCATCCTGCAGTGGATACCCACTCTTTGGGAACTCGTTTCATCTCCTCTGTATGCCCTATAAGACTGCCCCAACTACTTCAGAAGGATAATAACATCAACAGCTCAGAGCGGAGATTCTGCGAGTTTGGGCGCCACATGTGTTGGCCATCATCATGATGATGGTCTTTCCTGGGCCTTCAGGATTCATCTACCCGGTGCTTGATGAACCCTCCACAACATGCCGTTTGTGATCCACTGACTTATTCAGCAGGCATCAGGAAGGAAGCCATCGATTGGGTTACTTCTCCAAGGACTTGCTCAGAACCTGCTATTCCCTGACTTGGAGGCCGATTGCCTCCCCCAATAATGAGTCCCCAACGTTGCTAGGGGGAAAACTTCTGGTTGTTGTTGCCGGGGCCATTGGCAGTTTTCATCTTCTGAAAGGACTAATTCTGTTGGACTTCAAACCCCATGGGTACAAACCCATCACTCATCTGGGACGCCGGCCTGGTCAGCAGGATATACACCATCCTTGCCGCAAGCTGGCATGTCAATGCCTAGCCTGCTTTTGCTGTAGGAAGAAATGAGTACATAGCCCAAACTGCAGTCGCATCCCGAGAATCTGTTTCTTTGTGCCCTCCGAAGCCCATGCGAGCCTTGTGGGACCGCGGAGGCTGACAGACTGCATGCAGATGAAACGAACTCCGGCACTAAATCCTGCGCTAGTTCCACCCCTGGTTTCTCTGAGCACATATAACAGTTTAGCACCACTCATCTCCCCACCTCTCCTCACCTCCAAGTACCAAGGAGTCGAGACGTCTCTTGACCATATGAAATATGTACCACTACCCGAATCTTGAACATCCCATAACTTTTGGCACTTCATCCTTCATACAGTTTCAAAGCCTTGGCAACGGGGAGGTAAAACATCAATCAAACTGTCAAAATGGTTGAAGAGGAACTGCTAGCCAGATTCGTGATGGAGCTTGCGCGGCACCGTCGAAATACGCCTAGCAGCCCATACCAACCCCAACCTCCAAGACGGATCTTCGTATATAGGGTATTGGGGTTATGTAGGTATAATGGAATACAGGATAAAGGTATCCTTTGGATAATATTAGGGTTATTAATGGGGTTATATGGGGATAATGGAAAAGAATATGGAAACTACTAGATTATAGTAGCCCAAGAAGTGCTAGTCCAAACTTCATCACGCAACGTCCAAGGCCGAAGCATCCATGTAGGAGCGTACAGTGTCATTCCACAGCTGCAGCGCATTCCTGAGCTAAGTAGTAGTTTCCATTTTATTTTCCATTATCCCAATGTAACCCCAATGTAACCCTAATATCACCCTACAAACCCAAGCAAAAGTAAAAGGGGCTTACGGTGGGCAGATGTCAAGTCCAAGGTTTTGTCCCGGCTTCTTGGATTACCATTACTACTATTGCTACTGTTATGACGAGTATGACTATTATTACTATTAGTACAGCTATTACTAGTATTACTCGTAGTACTAGTAGTAAGGGTCCAAAGTTGTTACTCGAGCCCTGCACGTGCATCGGATGAAAGAAACTGCTCTCAGCATGAGAAGCCTGGATTTTGATTTCCCGTAGCCGGGGAGTTTCTGCGAATTACCCCTAGAGAATCCTTAGGCCTAAAACGCTACCCCACAATCCATTTGCGATTCATATAACACATATATATATATATATAGAAGAATGTCTATAAGATAATACAATGTCATGTAATATAATGTAATATAGGGCCCCTGGGAACCCCCCATTTTGAGAACCCCTAATTCGACAAACCGGAAAACTCGTCAAGCCTTAGCTCCTCGTTACTAAAGTACTGCTTACATGAACAGCAAATGGCTCACAACTTCATATTTGGAAGGTAGAACCCAACAATGGAGAGTCAAACGAAAACTCAACTGGAAATCCAAATCTTGAAATCCACGCTACTATTTCAGATTTAGGGCTTAGAGGTCATAATTGCACGCAGCGCAAAATGATGGCAGAACCCTGCTGGAACAGTAGTGCCGAGCTTCTCGTACGTCACGCAGTCGTGCTCCAAACTTCCTAGGAGCTGCGACCTGACATAGAAACAATCATAATGTTAGCGTTCCCGGATCATGGAAAAGAAAATGGAAA